AGATGCGATCTGTAGAAGCTAGTGACAATACTATATGAGTAATTTCACTCTAAATTCTGTGCAAATTTTATTTTGATAAAAACGACAATGAATGGACAAACACATATGCATGTATATATTTGCATATGTATGTACAGGAAGACAAAGTTTTATAGTCCTGAGTCACAGAGATACCTAGAGATACTTCAGCCTTGGAGAAAACCCAATCACGGCTTTGCAGAGCTTGAACCAACAACACAAATACCCCTCCCAGCCCAAGGGATATTTCAGGGTCAGGACACCCTCTCAGCCAGAGTCACACATAGCTGGACATTTTCCCAGCATACTACTCTGCTTCTCTGGCTGACCTTTAAGGTTAAAACCTCTGGATATCAGCCCATGAAAGAGAGTGATAAGGCAAATTCAGCTGCTTTGAGGCTCAGCAAAAAATGCAGTTTTTTATTTCAAACAGACTCCCCAAATCCCCAACAGCCGCAACCAAGCCATTCCTGGTCTACGATACTAATGCCACAGACCCACCACCATCAGGCCATGACCTCTAAGTGACTTTTTCCATTCAAGGTTCTCCTATTCTCCCTCCGTTTACTTCATGAGAAAGCAGTTAGCTGAGGTCAGGGCTGAGGTTCTTGGGTGTGAAGAGTTGCCCTGTGCAAAACCAGATGTATCACACAAAATGCTTAAGAATTTACTAGGGGAGCACAGTCCACTCTCCCATAAAACCCATCAGGCAGGCCATGTTCGCTATTTCAAGTAGGATCCAGAAGTACCCAGAACTATGATTTCACATAATAAACTAAGGTAAGAAGCTTTATAAAATAATCATTCTTCAGATATTTTTCTTCCTGTTTCTCCATCTCCTGCAAGCTTATCTTACAAGATTTAATGCACAGATAAATGAGGAAAGAAGGCACTGCATGGAAAATCAGTCCTGATTTCCAACATAACGCTATTTTATACAATTTTAAATTGTTAGTTTAGACAGAAAATCATTTTTTCTGGTCTACAAAGCTACCTTAACTTGGCTATCAAAAATTTATTTTTCTGGACTTCTGGACTGCGGGCATGGCTCAAACGGTAGAGTGCCTACCTAGCAAGTACGAAGCTCTGAGTGAAACCCCAGTACCACCAAATAAATAAATAAATGGAATTATTATTTTCCTAATCTTCCACTCTTAAAATGTCTTCCTTTTCCCATATCTAAAAGAGGTTTAGCATTCACTTATCTCAACCTTCCTCCGCTGATTCAGATTTAACAAATCTTTTACTGCAAGTCTAACTATGTGCTGAGCAATGCATAGTTAGCTAACTCTATTATTTAGAGATTTATCATTTTACAGATGAAGGAACAGGGCTCCTTAAGTTCAGTGACTTTTCCACTTTCACAGCTTTGCAAGTGGTGTCTGCAGTTTCCAAGTCCACATGCTGACAATGGGGACTCCAGGTAAAATATTTCTCCAGTATGGCTTGCATGTGCTTTTATCTTTCTGGAGTCTTGTTCAAGATAATTTACATGATGGGGGTAAGTGCTACTATTAATTTCAGGACTGGAATCAAGGATTATAGGCAACTCATAGAATGACAAATATAGCAATTACACACTGCAAACCCTCTCTTCACAAGGATCTTCTCCCTGGATTCAAATAACCAGAAACTAATTCCTCTATAATAGATCCAGTACAGTGAAAGTCTACAATGAACAATAGGTCCGGTCTTATTCCTTTACATCATTTCAATTCTCTAACCAGAAGATTGTTAGCTCAAAGGATCAGAGCACATGATGCTTAGTGAGATTAGTACAGAGGACAAAGGCCTCTTTCCCCTTGTCCATGCAAGTCAATAGGCATGCACACCTCCCACCCTCAGCCAGCCCAGCAGGTGCTGGTAGTACTAGATACTTAGAGGACTATGCAGAGTAGAGCACCTCCTAGGGGAAGAAAAGTAAGGCATTCCATAACTGATACTAATATCATGAAAATATAATGTACACTGACATAATAACAATGACTGGTTATTGTTATGGTTAGGTGTCACTTCGGAATTTCAAGGCATAGCCATTCACAAAACATAAATATTTTGTGAAAACCTATGAAAGAGTAATACTATCCCTATAACCAGAGGCAAGAACCCCCCCCCTTATTGTTGTCGTATAGAAATCAAGTATTTCCATTTTGCTAGTTTGTTTTTATTGCACACCCTATCTTTCATGAACAGAAGAGGAATACTTATTTTGTTCTATTCGAATTTCCAGGCCAGAAATTTTACCTCTAGTGACTTTTAAATGCTAAGATGCTACATAAAACATTACATTGATATTCTGAGTAGACAGTCAAAAATGTAGCTTTACTGTGGGAAAATTCACTACCTTATTCATCTAGAGTAGCATACTGGACATATCAAAAATACTACCAGAATAGTAAATGAGTTCAGAAATAATAAGTGTTAGTTCCAATTTTCAACACATGAGATGAGACCCCCCCACCCCCAAACCCAACTGGGCAAAAACAGGAGAACATTCCAGAGACATTTGGCAATTAGTGACTGCCCTCTGCTGAACCACAGCTGGTTTATTGCTGGAAAGAAAGAATAACAAAAGGATGTCTAAAATATTAAAAGACCAATGCAGTAAAGGATGAATAAGAAATGCATTTGGCCCTTACAGTGCAGTAATATCGCACGTGCAAACTCAATTTACCACCCCAAAGACTCCACATAGGTTTATGCTCCTTTGATCTAGAAGAGGAATTCTTTACACTGTAGAATAGAGGATCTTTTTACATTAATAATGGCATCAATTCAAGAGGTCCTCTGTAACCTTCGTAAGCACTAAATTTCTTGACTGGGGTTGTAAAAACCACAATAAACAGCAGTTGGTGTTATCTGTATGTAGACTTTCATAGTATTACTTTAAAAATAAAAAGCCATGGGTCTTCATTATAAGGCCCTTTGTAAAAAGTCAGGGGGGCTGACAAGTGTGCTTGTCCCAAAGTGAGTAGGATGACAATTTCTCTCCTCACTAGAGATTCTGCCAGATCCTACAGTACCTAGGTTCTAGAAGATACAGGTGTCTGCTCATTGCAAGTCAGGAAGCTTCTTAGTGTCAACAAGTCCAGGTTTGTCTGAACTAAGTATCTGTGAATTATGACTGGTTATTTGCTTCCAGCTTACTGAACCACTAAATTAGAATTCAGGGAAATAGGGAATTTATTTTTCTCTTTCCTTCTCCACACTGGATGGAGCAATTCACTAAAAGGCAGGATTCATGAGGTAGGGGTTGGGGAGAAGGACGGACTACAGTCCTAGGTCTAAATCATTGCATGGGCCAACTTCTCAAAAGTCTTGGTTCCCTCATCTGCTGTATGTTAAGAATAACACCAAACAACGTCGTTTCTTAAATTAAGAAAGAAATGGATGTTCAAGGCCTTATCCTTTCAAATATGCTTAGCATACGACAGACGCTCAGTGTTAGCTGAACCTGAGATGTCTCTGGAAAACATGTGACGGACTGTTTTCTTCCACAAACCATGCCCCTTGCCCTGGTCTCTGTCCTTCACAGGACTTTTTCTCTTGATTATGTCCTCCCTCTGGGAGGGCAAAGAGCAAGACCTCGCCCAGAACCGTCAGCATTCCCAGCTTTTTCGAGCGGCAAAGACAGAGACAGCAGCTCTGCTTCTCCTTCGCGGGGTGCCGCGTCCCCCAGGGGGGCGGGTTGTCCCGCCTTCCTGGACGTGGAGCGGAATGGCAAATGGCATCAGAAACCATCTGTGCTCCTTTCCTCCGGCGGCACCAAACGGCACCTTCAGTTCTCTTCGCCTGGCAGAGCACATAGGGAGCGTACAGGGCGAGCGGTCCCCAAAGCGCGCCCCCTCCCACCATTGACCTCTCCTAGTACCCAAGCTGATTGGTGCCTGCACCAGGCCAAGAACCCCTCCTCGAGACAGCCCAGAAAAGTTTGCGGGAGGGGTCATCTTATGGCACCTACTCACAGAGCCCTTTCCACCTCTATTTCTCGAAGCGGGGGAGGGGGAGAGAGAACGAGGAAACCGGTACCCTTTAGCCCTCAATAACTCCAAATGTTCTACACTGCCCACCATCCTCTAACATCACTCGCTTTGTTGGTTGGCATTTCCCCCCGCCCCAGCATAGCAACTCCGCGAAAACCCGCACGCAGCACTCCCCCCAAACCCTGCAGGCCCCCCCCAACTCCTGTCCCAGCTCGCCGCCATTGGGTACCGGCACGTTGCACCCCAAGGGAAGCCTATCCATTTTCCCAGAGCAGAACCCTGTCAGTGGCTTTTTGAAGTTTCCCATCCTACTCCTTCACCCTCCCCACCTGGGGCCCCCACGCGGATCCCTCACAAGGCAAGGAAACGGTGAGGTTTCCCCCCCAAATCCGCGGTTACGCAGTGTCCCGCCCTCTTCCCTCCCCTTTCCTCTCTCCACCCCTCCAGCTTAGTCCCCGCGCGCCAGCGTCTTCGGTGCCCAGCGGTTCTCTCGCCCAAGAAGAAACTTCTCTTGGGGCTAAATTCAGGTTGGAACAGGAAAGGCTTTTCCTCCCCGGCCCGCACCAGGGCTTCGCCCTTTACTCTTGAAAGAGTTCTCTACCACCACCCCCCACCCACCCCGGCCACCCGCAAAGACCTTTCCTCTAGTCACTAATGTTCCTAGTCTTTCCAGGTCAAAAGATCCAGTGGAGTCTGAAACACCAAGGGGACAGTCTGAATCCTTCCAGAGACACTACCTGTCTTGAGGAACTTAGAAACAAACAAACAACAACAAAAACCAAGTGAACAAAACAGGAATCCCGGCAACTTTGGTGTATGTGTGTGACTGTGTGTCTAGGAGAGGGAGAGAGCGCGCACGCGAGCGAGAGCATCGCCCAAGAGTTAGGGCAACAGCTGCAAGCGCACATCTGGAAGAGGGGGAGGGGGCCGAAGTGGAGGAGACCAGAAGCTCCCACCAGCTTCGGGACGTAGGGCCAGGCCAGCCAAGTCGTTCGTTACCTGTCCTATGTTGATGAATCCGTACTTGCTGGCTATGCGGTTGGCCTCCGGGAAGCCGCCGGCGATTTTGACCGCCCAGTGGTTGGTATAGACGCGCGTCCGGCACACCGGGAGCAGGCAGCCACCGAGCAGCGCCAGCACGCACAGCAGGTCCAGCCGTCCCGGGCAGCAGCAGCGGCTTCCCCAGCCCCAGCCCATGGTCCTGGCGCCTCGCTGCCTCTCTCACTGGCTCACTGGCTCGCTCGCTGGCTCTGCGCACTAAGCGGCGCGCACAACTAACTTCTCCGGCCTGGGCCGCCCAGGCGCGCAGCCCCGCGGCTCGCAGCCTCGGGCGATCGGCTGGAAGCGGAGAGCCGGGGCGGCCCCTAGACCATCCCTGGGGCTGCGGGGACCGCTGCTCCCTGCTCTCCGGCCCGCGGGGCGGTCAGCGAGCGCTCCCCGGCTTGGGAGCTGGAGGTGGCTGAGTGGGGCTGGCGCCCTCAGCAGTTGGGTCTCGCCGGCTCCGATCCCTGACTCTCCGATCGCTCTTGCTCCTCCCTGGGCCCCAGAGAGCGGCCGAGACGACCGGCGGGGGCGGTGCAGGCAGCGAACCGGCGCCCCCTCTGCTGGCCCGGGCTCCCAGTGCTTGCTCGCTGGCTCCCTGCGCACCCTCCGGCTCTCCGAGCAGCGCGCTAGGAGTGCGAGTGGCAATGGCAGCAGCGCCTGCTCTGCATAAATGACTCCCCCCACACCCCCCTTAACACCCCTCCTTTCCCACATCCCCCTCCTCCTCTCCCTCCTCCGCCCTCCCCAAAGAGGCCATAGCCAGGCGCCAGCCAGGTCCTAGCGCCTCCGGCTTCTCTCATCCGTAACCTCCAGGGTCCCTGGCAGCAAAGGCAAGTCTTTCCAAAGGGCTGAGAGGAGAGCCCCAGGGTCGTGATTTTACCTCCTTTTCTCACCTCTCGCCTGGATTTGTATTAATTTACCGCCACTTCCGGAAAGACTTAGAAGATTTACACGTTGGTGCGAGTTAAGCGCCCCGAAGATTCATTCATCCTCGTTCTAAACCTCCTTACACAATTAAACATTTAAGGAGGTCACATGTGTGTCAATTGCCGAACAAATAACCCAAGATTTTCACTTCGTTAATTCTTCATGCTTTTCAGCAACTGTTTATTTTACACATTGTGCTCCCGGGAGAAGCTACCGCACAGGACAGTAAGTCGCACTGACTGTTACAAAAGCCAACCACCATGGCTCCGAAGCCAGGTCTGTCGCCTGCTGACTTTCGAAATCAGCTCATCTGATACTAGACAGCGCCACGGGAGAGTAAATCCCAGCCGTGTAATGTAGGAAAGATATTTCTATGAATATTTGCTGTGCAAGTGGATGGACATGTTGGCTCAAAGGAATAACTTCATTCATTGGTTGGCTTGCGTCTGATGAGGGCTTCGTTTTCTCCACTGAGGGAAAAGTTTTTCAACTTTTCCAAGCACAACCCTGCAACAGTGAAAGGCTTTAATATAAAAACGACCATAGAGGAAGCCGGAATGAAATATGTGGCCGTACGGCCCTTCATTATGCATCCTGCACTGTCGGCAGGAGGGAATTCGAATTAACCCTCTTGCTTCTTCACAGCCTCCAAGTCTTTTTGTAGGTGATGGAGCACAGGGTAGTTTATTGTAAAAACAAGCATTAGCCCTTATGAAATAATTCAACTACCCTTAAAAGTTTTACTATATCCCTATCTCCCACCTCTTTTTTTCTCTCTTCCTTCCATTCCTTATCGTCCTTCCTAAGTATTAGTGGAATGTGTTTGAGATTAACCTATCACACAATGGTTGCATCATCTGAAATATACCTGCACACTTGAATTCTTTTTTTTTTATTCATATGTGCATACAAGGCTTGGGTCATTTCTACCCCCTGCCCCCACCCCCTCCCTTACCACCCCCCCCACCCCTTACCTCTCCCCCTCCCACCCCCTTGATACCCAGCAGAAACTATTTTGCCCTTATTTCTAATTTTGTTGTAGAGAGAGTATAAGCAATAATAGGAAGGAACAAGGGTTTTTGCTGGTTGAGATAAGGATAGCTATACAGGGCATTGACTCACATTGATTTCCTGTGCGTGGGTGTTACCTTCTAGGTTAATTCTTTTTGATCTAACCTTTTCTCTAGTTCCTGGTCCCCTTTTCCTATTGGCCTCAGTTGCTTTTAAGGTATCTGCTTTAGTTTCTCTGCGTTAAGGACAACAAATGCTAGCTAGTTTTTTAGGTGTCTTACCTATCCTCACCCCTCACACTTGAATTCTTATAACACCTTGGAGCATAATATTTGAAGACATTTTACACGTTTTGCAAGTGTACTTATACTATTGAACATATCATTATTGAATATTGTTGCATCTTGAAAATGAGCCCACAAAATAACATTTTCTCTCCATTGAAGAAGTAGATGATCAGAACTAAATCATTTGCTGGAGAGCATGTATTTACTCATTTATTTATTTGACCGATTTAACACATCTGTTTTGAGCATCTAGCATTTTTCACATATTGTGCTGGATACTGGAGATAGGGAGGAGCAGAAACAAGAGAGGCAGAAAATATCAGTGGAATTCAGATTCTCTGAGTACTCTAGAGTAAATGTGACTTCTTATGCATTATTATTTATAAGTGAAAAAGCATAAATAATACCTGTGGTTTTAGAGTATTGGTATAGTCTGGCTATTGGCCAGTCTCTTTAGACACCCCTCTTCCTTCCTCCCCAACATTGGAGTCCAGAAAGCTCTCAGTCTAATAGATTTCTGTTAACTGCTACCCTGGCCATCAGCATCTGTGCATAGGGACATTAGTTTATTCTTCTAGAAGCTGGTGGACTTCAGATGGAACAAGAAGTGTTCAATCAAAACCCAAATCTCAATACACATGTAAGGGAGAGTCAGCTCTCAGATGGGGGGGGACAGCCTGTCTGACCATGATCCACAGGAGGGTGGCCACTGAACTAGATACTTGATGAGTCAAGTTGGAAGTATGGCCTGTAGACTTCTCTCTGGGGGGACCATCATCATTAAGGACTACAAAAGCAGCACAGAATGCTTCCCTTTGTTGCCTCCAGGCTTTAGCTTCTGAATGAAATGAAGAGAAATTGCTACATGAAGTTTCCCCCAGGATGACAAAAATTGCTCATTAACATTTTTTGTATAATGTGCTTCTCTTTTTCTTTTCACGTATAAACATAATGTTCACATTGATGCCTGGTGCTGGTGGCTCACGCCCATAATCCTAGCTACTCAGCAGACAGAGATCAGGAGAATCATGGTTCAAAGCCAGCCCTGGGCAAATAGTTCAGGAGACCCTATCTCAAAAATACCCAATTCAAAAAAAGTGTCATGAAGTGGTTCAAGAGCTAGAGTGCTTGCCTACAAGCATAAGCCCCTGAGTTCACATTCCAGTACTGCCAAAAATTCTACATTAAATATGAAAGGGAATTGAAAAATGAGGAAGGAAAACCACTTTTCTGTGTTGTAAACCAATCCCTGGGCCAGAGTTAGTTTACACAAAGGGCATATTCTTCCTTTTAGACGCATATGTTTCTTTTTTTTTTGCAGTACTGGGGTTTGAACTCAGGGTCTACACCTTCAGCCATTCCACCAGCCTTTTTTTTGTGATGGGTTTTTTGAGATAGGGTCTCAAGAACTATTTGTCGGGGCTGGCCTTGAACCACGAGCTTTCTGATCTCTGCCTCCTGAGTAGCTAGGATTACAGAAGTGAGCCACCAGCATCTGGCTCCTAGCTCTAGCTCTGTTCTTGTTTTTGTTTTTAAAGATTTGGAAACCCCATTTGTCTGTGAACTCAAAAGTATGAATGTAGATTCATTCCTTTTATTGTCCATCACCTTTGTAGTTATCTTCCAGTTCACTTAAAAGTACATTCTTAAAATGTGTGATTCCTGAACCTAAATAGCATCAAAGAAGTCCCCCTCCTTGATGAACAATGCTCTTCTTCCTGCTTTGGGATCTCCTTAATGAACTCATTAACTTCCAGGATAGGGCCCCCTCCCCTGCCCTTGGCCAAGCCTGAAGCTTCCAGATAAGGAGCAATAGCTGTTGAGAAGGACTGCCTTACTTCAGTTCGTAAGCATGCTGGCCCTGACAGGCTGCCCTATTACAAATACCTCAGTAGCCAAAGGGAGCAGGAACTGATGGCATAGTAGTAACTAGTGCAAAATCATCACCGACATTGGAAAAGAACCTGAAATACAAGTCTTTCACAAATGCTTCCTTTTTGTATGTGAAGAACGGCCGTACAAGATTTGACCCTAGACTCTCCCTCTATTAGGTACTGTATGGCAGGAAATCAGGCAACTTTAAGTTTTACTCTGCCTTATACTCAGCAACATATTACTTGATAATGCAGCCCACTAGTATTTGGCCTCTATGCCAAGGTCCCATGAACCTCTGAAAGAAAATTTCAGTGAAATGCAATGAGCAGAAATTTAAGAGGCTTAGTAGAGGGAGATGTGAATAAGAACTCCATGAGGGCATATCTTGAAACTCTACAACTGGAATAATTCTGGAGAGAGTTTGTTTTAGAAGATACCTCATTTTTTGTTGCTAAATATTCTGCTGGAAATTAGCAGATTTCCTTCTAGACTGAAATTTCTGTGAATCAATGATAAATTCGTAATGGGCTGTTTGGGGCTGACCAACGGGAAAAATATCAGTGGACATTTCACTGCTCAGTAGAAGAGTTAAGTCCATAGAATCCTAAATGTTTTCTCAGTATATTAAATTCAGGATTGGCAGTAAAAGTCCATAAAACTTAATAATGACAATAATAATAAATTATAGTAATAACATCATCTCTTGAGCATTTGTTTTATGCCAGGCACTGGGCCAAATACATTTCAAACCTTAATTTTGTTCACAGAGTATTAAAGTTGAGGGAGACCTTGGGTATCACATACTCTAGCTCCTCTGTTTAACAGAGGCACTGGGTTTTGAACTCAGGGCCTCATGCTTGCTAGGCAGGCACTCTACCACTCAAGCCACTCCACCAGCCCTTTTCTGTGTTGGATATTTTTGCAATAGGGGATTGAGAACTATTTGCCAGGGCTGGTTTCAAACTGAGATCTCAGCCTGATCTTAGCCTCTCAAGAAGCTAGGATTACAGGCGTGAGCCACCAGCACCCAGCTTTGATATCACCTTTGCTGCAGAGTATTTGTAACCTGGGACTAACAGATGACTAACATCTTACGGATTTTTACGAAGCTTTAGTTACTTTGTTGAGTTTGAAGTTGATTTAAAGTGGCATTGCTGACCCTTTTCTGTAGATATTTAAATCCTACAATGGCAAACTGGTTCTCAGAGAGCTTTCTAGTTAGAATCAAAGTATGAAAGTTGAAGACAGTTTTCTTCAGATATGACAGAACCGAATCCAACTCTCTCGCCTTCTAGCTTCTCCCCTGTTTCCAGAGCACTGACATCTTCATGATGGGTTTGATGGGTCAGTGTGATGTCCCC